ACTAATGTGACCCCTGGGGTGCCTGTCACACTTTTACATCACGTGTCCTGGACAGAGATGCCCCAGGAACCACATCCATGTCAATGCCTTTGCCCTGCCCCTCAGCACCCCAGAGCTTTATATCAACTCTTTTATTTAATCTTTACCACAACCCAATGAGATATGTTAATACCTCATTTTGCAGAAGAGGAATTCAAGGCCCAAACAATGTTAAGTGGCAGATGAAGCAGGTGGACCATAGAGCTGGGCCACAGCACTCCCCCAGGGCATCCTGGTCCTGACTGAAGCACACACGACTACACGAACCTCCTCAGCGGGATCAAGCACCTGCCGTCCTGGCTGGTGCCCTCCGTTCCCACCCGATGTGGGTCTATTCCAGTCTGCGTGAGAGATTCTGGCTTTGGAGTGTGTCACATGAACTCTGGAATCTCCCGAGGGCATTACAAGCTTCCCTTTGAACACTGTCAACTGGGCTTTTGAGCCTCCCATCAGGGCCTGGTGAGGAGGTGCTTCCCTCTGACTCCGTTCTGTCTGTCTTTCCCACACCCAAATGTAGCTTCTGATTTAATGGCTTTTGAGGAAAAATCCCTTTTTTCTCTGGCTGAGTGTCCTGGTCATACCCAGGATTCCATCAGCTCTTTGAGTTTGGAACCCTGACTTATTTTTGACTGCCAAGTCTTCTTTACTGTATACTATTGGTTTTAATTATTCAAGTATTTCATAATTCCATCCAATTATTTTCCTTATTAAAAAACAAAGTAAATCGCATTACCAAGTAAAAGACCTTCTTGACTTAACTCTTCATTTCAACCAGTTCTGGGGTGACCCTCCCATATCAATCGGGCACATCTTTTTCACTTTTTTCTAATTTCAGTTTTTTTAAACGAACATGTGTATGTGTGTATATATATACACAAATACAGGTTGTTGGTGTGTATTTACATAATGGCATCTTGTTGTGTGCATACCTCACTATTTTGGAGTTCTTTCAGCTGTGATTCATTTTTCACTGATGATTTGATGATTGTAGAGCTACCCTGCTTATTTTCTTTCATGGGACTGATGCTATAATCAACATCTTTATTAACTTCTCTTTGAGTAGATCTTCAACATCTTTACTAATTTATCTTTGATTATATGCTCAAGTATTTACCCAGAACATAGTGACTGAGTTGTTGAATCAACAGGTACTTAAACATTTAAATATATTCAGAAAGTTGCTAGTCACATTACGATTATGTCATTCTTATGATCAGTGACTAGAAGTAACTTTCACAGTGTTTCGTTTTATCAGTCTTTGTTGCTATTATCAGTTTTTGATTTTTATGGATAAACATTGGTATCATATTCCTTGTGGATTTTATTTGCATTTTCTCATTACTAATGAGATCAAACATCCTTGGATGTGTTTTAATATGTTTATTCATGTTTCTCCTTTGTGAATTGCATGTCTATGTTTTTAAATTTTAGTTTAGCTTTTTGATGCATCTGGAATTGAATGTTGTGAATGACGTGAACCATGGACCTGATTTTATTTTTTGACCCAATACCACTTAATATTTGTTGTTTTCTTTTTCTGTTGATTAATGATTATGTTTAATGTATATGCTAAACTCACATTTAAACTTCCAAAGCCTAAATTCTGTCTCAATTGTTCTATTTTTGCTTAGTGGCTAATACCACATTATTTGAGTTGCTAAAAATTTATTATGTAAGTATAATATAAATTATGTAAATCTATGTGTTTGACCTTTGGTGGATGATGTTTGTTTATTCTTTTTTGTTGTTACTACTGCTGTGTTTAGCTCAAAATTTTTTTTGTTATTTTTACATGTTATTTTTTATATGAATTTTTGAAGCATTTGTCAAGTCCTATGTAAATTATTGATTAGAATGACACTGAATTATAGATCACTTTAGGGTGTGGTAGCATGTTTACAACTTTGACTGCCTTTATCCAGGAACATAATAGATTTCTGTTTCTTTATGTACTTTACTAAAATTTGCCTATCTTATTGATCCCCAAAGGACTGTATCCTTTAATTAACTGTATTTTTTTGTTATATTTCTTCCATTTCACTAAACTCTGCTTTTATCACTATTGAGTCTGTTAATTGTGAATTATTGAATTATTTTCTAGCATCTTTACGGAACATTCAGTTCATTTTTCTTCATTATTTTTCTTTTCTAAAGAAGGCCCCAAGGGTAAACATTTTACTCTGAGTTTTGCTTTGGCTGTAGCATACAGATTAGACAATATGATTCTATGCTGAAAATATTTGTACTTTTAAATTTCCAAGTTTATTTTGACTACTTGTTTTTAATTTTTACTTTCTACTTCCTTTGCCTGTGCCTATATCATGTCTACTTTCTTTGAGATTTATTAAGATTTACTTGTTGCCTAATACATAGTTGGTAGCACTGTGTTTTTGGAAATACAGTATAGTCTTATATGGAGACAAATTTTCTTTATATATAATTAACTTGGTTAAGTAAGTTATAAAACAATATGTATGCTACTAAATGTATCTGCTTGACTTACCAAGTCTGAGAGAGGTGTGCTAAAGTCTGCTACTTTAATTGTGGCTTCATCAATTTCTTCTCATAGTTCAATTATTTTCGAGTCATATTTCAAGTATTTGCTTTATACCCTTTCTAGGCCATGTTGTTACACATATAAAGGTTTATGACTATTATCACTTTGACTATTATCACTATGACTATTATCACTTTGAAATATCCCTTTTTGGCCACTTTCATCTCTTTCAATATAAATTTTGCTTTCCCTGATACTATTATTACTATACCTGATTTCTTTGTTGTTAACATTTGCCTGAGGCCTCTTCTGAGAAATCTTGTGATTTTCAACTGTTTGTTTTAGTATCTCTCTTGCATCATATGATAGGTAAGAATGATGTAATTCAGTATGAAGTTCTACATCTTATAATGTGTATATTGAACCCTATTGCATACCTTGTGACTGGACTTTTCTGCCTTCATGTATGGGTCTTACTTACTGTTCTTGTGGTAGAAAACCGTCTTCAACTTTGTTTCCCTGGAGACAACCAAAGCTGGACTCAAAATAGCAGGTGCTCAATAATTGCTGATTGACCGGAAACTTCTCTACTCTCCTAATTCTGAAGTATTGGGTTGTCGGAAAAGTCATGACACATTTTTGCTTGAAAAACAGAAAAAAATACATCATGACTTTCCTGACAACCAAATAATTTGAGAAAAAACATGGCAAATAGCTCAGTTGTGATGGGGTTGGGACTAAAGATGAAATTATTGGTAAAAGAGTTTTAAGAAGGCTTTATACTTTATTAAATCTAAATTTTGTTTCCTATTTATGTAGCTTAAACATATAAGATTTTGAATTTTCTCTGAACATATGGGCTGGTAGTAGTTACTGATGATCATAGTAGTGGAGGTCAGGACTCAGATCAAGATCTCAGAATCAGTGAAGGAAATGCAGGATTTCATCTCCATCAACCATGTCCCTTATGAGATATTCATTGAAGGACACTACCCAGCAAAAGTTGACATCACTGTTTCAGTTCCAGATCTGGAACTGATTTCATTTTGTTTCTAGCTTCTCTTATCAGAGTGCTGGATAATTGGTTAATTTTAAAGAAGAATGATATTATGGCAGGATTAACTTTATCACCAACTGCTTCTCTAAAGAATCACTGTCCTGGACAAAGATTTAATTAAGGATATATAAATATAAAGCCAGGATGACTCACAGCCCATTAGACATCATTTTCTTACCGTAATTGACAAGAAATCTAAAAAAAATACAAGAAGCATCTGTTCTGTCATAGTGGAAACAGAGGTTGGAATTAAAGACCTCCCTGGTTTGGTTGTGCCAGTTGGGCTCATCCAAACCTCTCCAGAAATTCCCTTGAGTACAAGGAGCCAGGCTACTTGATGTGTTGCACATCTCTCAACTCCAAAATGCTGCCTGTCTTATGTGAAACTCAGTACTAACAGTTAATCTAATGAACATCCTTAGAAGTTGACTGTGAGCTACTTATAACTAAAGCAAGGTGGTCTGATTCAGTTGCTGATGTATAAACCATGTAGATTTCATGGCTTTGAGTACTGTGTTAGGCATGCTATTTTCCAAAGCCGTTTCACATTAGCCAGTGACTGAGCAGAGAGGAACAGTACCTGCCCTGTGTTCTTTGGTCCTCAGGTGACAGATGGGCAAAAGCCAAATGCAGCTCTTCACGGCGGGCACCCTAGTCTTTCTATATGAGCCAAACCCCACTTGTTTCCTTTCCTTCCTGAAATAACGTTAATTTACAGTAGATAGTGAACTAAAGATTCTTTTTTGCCTGAATTTTAGTTGAAAGCTTGCAGATTTGATCTAAGGTCAGAGGTTCCACAAAGATGTGTCACAGTGGAAACAGACTAAAATCAAAGATTTGCATAATCCATAATCCTACCTGGTGATCTGACTGAGCATGAGCCCATGACTGTGACCAGCATGGGCCAGAAGAGTGAGCTAACTGAGCAAATGGATTTTTGTAGCTACATAAAGCATGTTTTCTTCAACATCTTTTTTCCAATTTCCTACAAAATTAGTTTTGGCTCTAACACTATCTTTTTCTTCCCAGCTGTCTCGGACAGTCGCATGTATTTTGGGGGATTCTGGTGTTGTAAGCAGTGGTTTTAAACTATTCTGAAAATGGAGGGGTCCCAGTCTGCCCTTTGAGACCCCCCAAGGGGGGATGACATAATTTCTTACAGCTTTTTCTTAAAATGTACACAGTTTAACATATGTTAGATTTGTTTTTCCTCCAAAAGAAATCATGAAATAAAAAACGACTTAAGAATGCAAAGGTGAATTGCCTGCATCTGCTCACAGTATGGGCTGTTCCTGGGACGACTGTGACTTTCAGCCGTCTTTGTGCAGCAAGCCCCACGTTCCTTGTGCAAGCCTCTCCTTCACTGTGGCCAGCTTCATTAACCTGCTGTTTCTTCCCACCTTCCAGAATGGCTGCAGTCTGTCCAGGCCACCATGATTTTGTCCATCATCTTCAGTGTTCTGTCCCTGTTCCTGTTCTTCTGCCAGCTCTTCACCCTCACCAAAGGGGGCCGGTTTTACATCACTGGGGTCTTCCAAATCCTTGCTGGTAAGTTGGAGGTGATAAAGTCCACGTGGGAGGTAGGTCTATTCAAGGTTGGAGAATGATCTGTTAGTTCGACAGATGTAGTGCCTGAGTGACTGATGGTTGTGCGTCTCCCCTGGGATGTTTTTCAGAAAACACAGGTGTGTGCGTGTGTGTTTGTGTGTCTGCATGCACCTTAAAATTTGAGAACTTTCTATTTATCCATGGAATAAAATACATGGGAAATAGGACTTAGAAACTCTGGAAGGAACACCTCCAGCCAAATCAGACTTCTCACTAGGAACGAGCTACATCAACGAGGACACATTATCAGCAGAATTGCTGAGGGTATTAGTAGATCAAAGGCAGGGTCCTCTAAATTGCATCAGGCTGTGAGAAATCATCCCTGCTTCCACATAGGAATTGAAAATACTGAGGGCTGTCCAAGGTTGTTCTTTACTATGTGTTTCCCACCTCTAAGCACTGCTGAAGCCACACTGACAAATCCTTACCCCCCAATTACAGCTTCTGGATTCCACTTTGAATTACTGTTGTCATCCTCTGGTATCTTTCCTGGAACTTCTGTTTAACATGTCATCATTTTCAAACACTGGGCCATGACAACACACGAGTCTCTCCTTCATCTCCATACACTACCTTCAAGTTCCCTTCTTGTACAGTTACCAGTATGCACAGTATGGAGAGTCCTCAAGCTTTGATTCCAGAGGCTGACAGCTTCCAACTTTGTTTCTAGATCTGGGTAGAGTCTGATTTCATTGAATCTTATCTTTCTCTTCACTGACTGGCAGTTGACTGGCTGCAGGGCTCTCAAGCAAAGAAAGAGATAGGTGGGGTGGTGGACTTTGTGGTCCAGATTAATAACTTACAGAATCCTATGAAGCAGTAGACATCTGGGTACTGTGAGATGGTCTAGATTGTTTTCCTGAGTAGAAATCTGTTGTTTAAGTTAGTTGTCAGAATGTCCATCGTCCTGATTCACCACACTGTGCTCAGAACCAACCACTGGAGGGTTGAAGAGCCCACATGTCCTCAGTCCTCACTGCGGTTAGGTGGATGGGTAGACAGAATGGATCATGCAAGGCTGGATGGCAAGATGTGTCAGAGGTTGCATGTTGGGCACCTATTCTGGAAGCCAGAGCTACCCTTTCCTAGAAAAATGAAGCTGGAGAACCATTTTTCAAGAAACACATGCATCTAGCACTCAATATTCCCAGTTTGGGGCTTTCAAAACCAAAAGTACCTTGCTATTTACTTGTAAAGTTTTTTTTTTTTTTTTTAGCCCAAGCTAAGTTCCTTTGTCATTGCCAGCTTTGTAAATTTTCTAATTTCTTAGTGAGATGCTATTTCTAGGTATGTTCGAAGTAGTTATCATTATCCAATCCATTTCTAGAAGTTATATAGAAAACTTTTATATAAAATGTATTCTGGAATTTCTATTTTGACTCACCCTTTACAGTTAGATGTCAAATAATGATCATATCTGTGTCAAAGCATCAAGAGATGTATCCTCAAGATAAAATAATAGAGACTTAGGGAGCAGAAATTTTGTAAAATATTTATGCTTGATCTGTGTAAGCCTGTTGTTTTATGGATACATAGAAAGGATAAATGATACCTGGCTTCTCAAGGACAATCAATGCTTACACTCCCTCTCATACTGGACTGAATATAGTGAGTACCTCTTTTATTTAGTGATACAGAGTACACTAACACTGTTGAGAGATCCAGTCTGATGCAGAAATGGTTTTTTCCATTATCCTTCCTTGAATCTGACTTGCAGTGATTGCTCAGGGCAAGTTGATGCCATTTGTTAATTCCTAAGTTTCTAAGTACCTGTGATGAAGAAGACTCCCAACAGCCAAACTAAAATACTGGGCTGAATAGGACTATGTTGCTTCTCAAAGCAGGCAGCACCTTCAACTTTATCCCACTGAAAAGTTTCAGCCTTAAATTCTCTGTCTTTTTAGCAACTCCATTTTTGGTCAAAACCTAGTCCAGAAATGAGAATCACTAGGTCATTGCACTGAGAGTTCAAGTATTTCCATGAAGCTGAAGCTCTTAGGTCTCTTCCTAAATTTACTCATCCCAAATCGCTTCACTGTTTTGTCTCCTTCCAATTCAATACAAGCTATTGGGACTCAGCTATGAAACCTCTGAACTTTGAAGCACATGATCTGTTCTTCCTCTGTCCCCATCAGATTAGCTGCTTATTATCTCTCATGAGACTTTTAGCTGTCGGTTTAGTGGCTTGTACTGGAATAGAATGTTATCTTGAACTAGAAATGCTGACCGAAGATAGCAAGTATCATGTATAAATCCTGAAATGTTCTAGCTCCCACCCAAATGATCTGAAAGTTAGTCTTCCAGGTTCCTCGGGTCTCTAGAATGTTGCATTTGAACTTGTAGTTTCATAAGATCTGTACTAAAGGGGAGAGCAGTAAGTTAGGGATGGTACTGAGGGATTTCCTTACTCTTGATATCTGATGATCCTAAATCACCTTTACGACGTGTGTTTCCCAATTCACGACTTATTAAGAAATCAGTAGCTAGAGAGAAAACAAATGAGGGGAAGAGTTGTTGGAGATGTGAAATGGTGGTAACTTGAAAAGTTATAGTGAACATCAAGACACAGCTCAGAAAAGCTAAAACACAATCAAAGGAAAACCAAAAAAGCAGACAAGAAGGGAGAGAGGGAGGAAGGGGGAGGGGGAAGAAAGTAGTGTCCCAATCATGGGGTGTAAAATTTCCTGGAGTGTGTGCCAGAGGGGCTAGTGTCCACATAGGGCTGAGTCATCTTCAAGCACCAGGACATTTCAAGTGGCTGCCTCCAGAACCTCCTGCCTCCCAAGGCTGCGCCGTCTGTGCACAGCTGCTCAGCTGCGTCTGTAGATCTTACTTGTCTGTGCAGGAAAGTGGGAGGAGGAGTGTAGCTCTGGAGCTGGGAGCTGATGGCAGATTCCGCTGTCTCTGCCTTCTTCAGATGACAGCGCGGTGTGCGGCCTCAGATCCTCCTGGTTTGCTGTGTCATCCCTTCTGCATTTCATCACTGAAGCCTCAGGCCTCACTTCTAAGCACCATCCTTCCTTGATTACATGCTTAGGTTGGCTGCTTCCTGAAGATGTGTTGAGAGGCACCTTCCTCTAGTTCAGTGGTCTTCAATTTTAGATGTACACTAGAATCGCCTTTTCAAAAGGTGCTTTTTAAAAAATGTCAATGCCTCGGCTTCACCCCTAAATAGTCTAAGTTAAAGGTGCTTTGGTAGGAATATTCCTGCGATGACTCTAATGCTCACCCAGGGCTATAAACCACTGGCATGCCACTAAACTGCCTGAACCCCACTCTAGGCTCTTCTAGGACGCACCCCCAAGATGGCTAGTTCCACTCATGGGCCCTCTATTCTTCTAAACCCCTTCTTAGAAAATAGCCATCCTGATCCCGTGTCTGGATTCTCGAGTCATTCTTGTTTTCAGACCTGGGCCATCCTTCCTAGAGCCCTTGCTCTGCTGAGCCAGGTTACAATGGATGGGTAGGTCTTCAAAAGTTCACTTAGAGATAGTCCTGAGGGAAAACCTTGCCTACTTTGATTCATTGCATCGCTTATCCTGGCAATGAAGCACTGCATGGCACCGAGAAAGACCTGAGTACCTGGTGGGCTGACGGCACAACCATGCTCCCGGGCGGACTCAAACCTGCATCGTGTATTGTTACTACTTGTGATTGAAAAGAAAAGGTGGTAGAAGGAGACTCCTGAGTGTTTTCACTTTCCTGTTTGTTCACTCCTGTCTTGGACAGGTCAGTAGAGGTACAGAGTATTTGGAGTGAAGGACTTTGGGGGATGAGTAGAGCACAGCCTGCTCCCTGTCCTGGGTGGCACAAAGACAGCATCAGTGGTAATGAGTGAAACACACCGACGTTGCACTTGGTCTTGCCCAGAGCAGATTCTCAGGTTCCTGCAGGGGTTTTCTAGGCAGCAGGCGTCACCCGGACACTGGACATGGACCCTGGGCCAATAGCACAGAGAACAGTCTGTGTGGGTCAGTCAGAGCACAGTGCTTTCAGGCTAACAGCCCTTCTCGCCTTTTCCTGCCCCACCTTGTTGCCCACAGGGCTAAGTGGGGACAGACAAAGGCGCTCACTCACAAACCAGCACCACACAGGCACCTTCCACTGACTATTTTTGTGTTCTCACTTGACCTGTGCTTTCTAGCGACTTCACTGCTCCCACTCCGGGCTCTCCAACGAACCACTTTGGCATAGGTCACTGATGCACACTTTAAGTCCTTCACCGAGCCACTCCACTCCTTTCAATACTGTGGAAAACAGCTCCTTGCAGCTGTTTTCTCCCTCGGCTTCCAGAGCAGCACCGCTCCTCCACTAACTTGCGTTCAGCCACCAGGCAGGAGCACTGGATCCTCTCTCCCCTCCCCTTATATCCAGTCCACTCTCAGTCCTACCTCATTGTGGCAGCCCACACAGGCAGCGTGCCTATTTCTTTTCTTTGACTCATGAACACCATTGCAATGGTGCAAAACTTCTCTTATTCCCCCACCCCCGCTGGGATGGTCTTTCTAAAACACTCATCTGTTGGTGTTTTGCCTCTGCTAAAGGCATGCTTTCTGCTGAGCTTCCTCAGTATGCCAGCATAGGCCTTGGTGAGCTGTAAGGCTCAGCTGTCTTGCCCTCCATCAACTGAGATTCATGGTGACTGCTGGTGTTTACAATAAGCTTCCTGGCTTTGCCCATGTTCTTCTTTTTTTCTGGGTCTCCTGCACTTTTCTTCATCCAGCTCCCTATCACCCACCCTTGGGACACTGGTCAAGCACCATGTCCTTGTCCGGCTTCTCTGAGCCCCCAGTTTGGGCCCAGCACCCAACTGAGCGCTCAGGGCATCTGCTTTGTAGCTTCTCCTCTTTGAGATCACATCATATGCTGTTGGGATGTTGGAAGCCTCCTGACATATCTGTCTCTGGGTGACACCCCTTGAAGGTAGCAGCCATACTTCATTATCTTGGGGTTGTGAGCCCCCAGAACAATGCCTCTGCACAGCGGGCACTCATTATGTTCACTGAACCAAATACAATGGACATAAGGAAATTTAGAGTATTCCTTCAACTGAATTCCCTTGCAGTAGTCACTTGATTATTTCCTTCCAAAGGTTCTGAGTTCTAATCACTCACCTTCAGTTTCTAATGCCCTTAAAGGGGACCTGAGACCCTCTCCACGACAAGAGAGTGTAGGGGGATTTTTCAGGGAGTTATTGCAGACTCAGCCATCCCAGGACAGGTGGAAACTCTTGAGGCCTCTTGAACAGTCAGAACTTCCATGCTGTCTGGACAGGGTCAGTGTCCTTCCTCTCAAAGTTGACCTACCCTCTCAGGGGGTGCCCGCCACTACCAAAGCACAGTCTGCATGTATGCAGGGAAGGCCCTTTGGCATAGGTCACTGCACCTTGGGGATCTTCCTAAGGCCTCTCTGCCTACTGATTGCGGAGACAGTTGTCACAGCCCACTTATGGGGAGTGATGGTTGACTCTTAGGGACTTTGTGTGACATTGCTCTGGGTGGCAGACAGAGGCTTCTGGGCAGAGTCACTGATTTGTAGAGTCCAGGGCATGTCTGTTGCTTTACATACAGGCAGCTTTGTAATAACATAGACCAAACACCTCAGCCTCCTGTCTTCTCTCTTTGGCTTTGTATGTAATCTAAACTATTTGCTTATTGAAGTGAAGCTTGAATTTATTCAGCTTCTGAGATTCTACTAGGTGAATCCTGAAAATTGAGACTTACATTGGCCACCACACTTTGTGTATCTCACCTCTCTATCCCTTGTGGCCTGAGAGTACCTTTTCTTTGCCAATAGGATGTGGGCATAGGGGTCTGCATGGCTTTCATGGCATTTTTCACGCCAGCCATGTCTAGAAGCCCTGCCCACACCACAGGCCTCATCTTTCCTCGATCATGTTCTTTTTATAGCCCTACCCTGTTCAGGCAGGTCAGAGATTACCGATGAGACAACTTCAATATTTCTAAATGAGCAATGATGTAAAGCCCATAAATAAAAAAAATATTAGTTAAAAAAAAAAAAAAAAGGTAGCCCTTTGGAGAGATGAGTCACAGAGCTTTCGGGGAAGACGGTAGAGGGTCACAGTGTGTTATTCCCAGCAGATCACGCTGCTGTTTTCCTCAAGGGACCTCTCACCAGCTAGTAGATGGATGTCTTCACAAGCTCCTGAACTCTCTATAGGGAGCAGGTCCTGGGCCTGAACCGCACGTACTTCCAAGGCTCCGTTGGCTTTCTGAATGGGGCCAATGGAGTGGGAGTTTGCTCCCCTGACTCGCAGAAGGACAATCTTAGCAGGGCGGTGAATGTGACATATTCCCACTTCTGTACTTTGTTCAAACAAAGATGCAGTGTCCAGTGAAATAGCAGTCCAAATAGCAGTGAGGTTAGGTGTAGGTGGCCCAGGGCACAGGGAGGAATGGCCACAGGAATCCCATATGGCATGTGGATTTATAATAGAGTCACTCAGAGCCTCTCAAAGACCCTGTCTTCAGGAGGGAACAGAGCAGGCTTTGTGAGCTCCGGGTGGGGTGCTGACATCCCAGGAGCCCTCCCTGCCCAGTGTGCTGACTGTCATCCTGGGCATCACACTTGAGGCTGCCTGCTTCAGGATGCCCAAGGTAGAGGCTTTTCTTCTCCTTCCCACTCCACGAGGTTATAGGCGTGGACATGGGATAGCCAGGCCTACCTAGGTTCTGATATCTTTCAGCCCTGTTGGGACTTGAGCCCTAACCTCGGGGAGCTATTACACGGGACCCTGTGGAAAGGTGCTTGCTCCCGGTAGTCACCTCCCTCTGCTTCCCACCCTTACCTACCTTCCCCTATGCGCTCCCCTCCCCCCACCTCTTTGTCCTCTCCACACATTCCTTTATCTGCCCTGCAGTGCCCACAGGCAGCCCATGCGCCTTCACCCCTGCCCAGGGATTAGCATCGAGTTTTGCCCATTTTCTAATGCTCTTCCCACGCACAATGAATTAAATAATTCCACCACTTACTTATAGGGTGGCTCACAGGTTTCCAGGGTCTCCCATACCCAACACCCTAGAAGACAGGTTTATCTTGCAACCTGAATTCTCACTGTACCCCTTGGAAGTGGTGACAGAGGAAGTGAAATGTGGCATAGATGACCCTCCGCGGCTCATACAGGAGAAGTGGAGACCCACGGCCCCCCCTCCCATTCTTTGAGCCCCTTCTTCATTCTGGACTGAGTCTGACAGGTTCTTGCACGGTTTGGCCTCCGGGCAGCACACGCTTGCTTCTCTCTAAGAAAGAGCAGCAGCTGTGGGGTGTGTGGGAGGGTGGGGAAGAGCATGGACAGGTGGGACACGGCTGGGGGCCTGTGTCGGTGGAATCTGCGTGTTGGTGGAATCTGCGAGGCGGTGGTGCAGAGGCCTCCCCGCCCCCTCCTCCCTCATTCACCGTGTCCCTCTTTTCCCCCAGGTCTGTGCGTGATGAGCGCGGCGTCCATTTACACCGTGAAGCACACAGAATGGCAGTTCAACTCAGGCAATTCCTACGGCTTCGCCTACATCCTGGCCTGGGTGTCCTTCCCCCTGGCCCTTCTCAGCGGTGTGGTCTATGTCATCTTGCGGAAGCGCGAATGAGGTGCCCAGACGGCGGGTCTGCGGCGCGGAGGCTCTGAGCATGCGCAGGGAAGGGAGGCCAGAAACCACAACCCCGAAGAGTCAAAAAGAGCTAGCCAAAATTCCCAAACTCAAACCAAACCAAACTGAGAGCAGTTAGGGGGTGGGGGGGAGAGGGTTAGTGCTGATTGAAGATGTATATAATATCTACGGTTTATAAAACCTATTTATAACACTTTTTACATATATGTACATAGTATTGTTTGCTTTTTATGTTGACCATCAGCCTCGTGTTGAATCGTAAAGTAGCTAAGGAACTTTACATCCTAACCGTGTAATCAAGCTCAGTATTTTTGTTTTATTTGTTGTCTGTTTTGCCCAGAAATAAAATAACTCCATCTTGCCCCTCTTCCCTTTCATTTGAAAGAAGATACCTCCCTCCCACTCCACCTCATTTAGAAAACCAAAGTGTGGGTAGAAACCCCGAATGGCCAAAGCCTTTTCTTCCTGGGTGGCCAGCGCATCACCCAGAGACACGCCCTGCCCACACCCGCGGAAAGCTAGTGCGCGCGGGCCCCAACTGCAGACCTCGGCAAAATCCCCCGCGCGGCCGAGCCACTCTGCCCTTGAGGGCGGGAGTCCGGTCACGCGTCTCCATGAGAAATCGGTGAGAACAAACCTACGAAATGGTGCTATGTCTCTACCATTCCTTATTATAACTAATCATCTAAACTACTCACTGGAAATTCAATTAACAATTTTACAACGTAGAGTGGAGACCTGAATAATTCTATGTAATATAAATGGTTTATAACCGCCTCTGTACCTAGCTGGGCTGCTAGTGCTACTATGAGCGAGAAATACTACACAGCCTTTATGACGCCCACATTTCTCTTCCGGTCGGAGTGTCAGGAAAAGTCTCTGCCCTTGGGATGTACATTCCCTGGGCACGCCCAGCTACTCACTCAGCTGGGTCTAGACTGTTCTCTGCCTCCAAGGACTGTCTGGCAATGACTTGTATTGGCCACCAAACTGTAGATGTATATACGGTGCCTTTTTGATGCTAAGACTCCAGACCTTTTATTTTTTTGCTTCGCTTTTTCTGATTTTATACCAACTGTGTGGACTAAGATGCGTTAAAATAAACATCAGAGTAACTCACTGATCTCCTTTGGTTTTTGTGGGGACCTGTGTGGCGGGGAGGTGTGCATGGGAAGCGAGATTGAACTGATGATCAGGGCTGCAGTCTGGTGTCGAGGAACCAAAATCATAGTCTTTTTGCAGGTTACATCGAACGCATAATGCCTTCCAGAAACTTGGGCAAATGTCTGCTAATTGGAGAGGGCCAGGGTTTGCAACTGAAATGGAAGCTGTAAATGCACTGCAAAAGCTGTGAGTGTCCATTTAACTTAATCTTCTTTTGTGCTCTGTTCCCTGATGATCCACATGGGGGCCACAGAAGTCTGCCCACCTAAGATATGGGAATGTTGGTACAAGCAGCACAGATTCCCTAACCTTTAGAAGGGAGGAGCTAAGCCATGGTAAAAAGTCTGCCAGATTTTCAAATAGCGCTGACTGAGCTCCTAACACTGTCCAGAGGTGGGAAAAGGGTTGATCGGATCATTCAGCTTGGTTGCTGGGCTGTGTCTCACTAATGTATATTTTTATTTATGAAATCAGCTTTTTATTGTGCCTCTGAAAAATATACCAATGATGTACTCAGTAGTATTGAACTAGATACCAGAGATCAAGAAACAATGACATCAATTCTCAGTCTCAGCATTTACATTTTAGTGGGAAGCACCAACAGGTGACTAGGTTACGATGAGGAGCACATGCATGAGGCAGCTTGGATTTGAGTCTGCCCTCATAGCTGGACAAGGCTGGAAAGGCTACTTACATGCTAAGATTTAGTTTCCTCCCTTATAAGATGAAGATGCCAATAACAAGTTTATGGGATTGAAGAGCATAAAAGGAGATATGTGCAAATGATTAGCACAATGGTTATGGATAAGAAAGCACTATTGGTGCTTATCACAAAGGTTTTAATAGAAATGTATTGGGGCAGATATTGATTATTTTGGGGAATTCTCAATACAATGCTGCACAATAGAACATCCCATGCGGGGACCCACTCGAGCAACTTGAATTCCTTGTGTCTGGTACCTGGTGGGGCAGACCCTTGATAAGTGGGTCTGTGATTATAGGGTTAAGGTGGCAACAAAGACCATGAGATGCACCTGAGATAAAGGTGATTAAGATGAATAGGAATCTCACATCACAAGCTTGACCTTTAAAAACATGCATCTTTATTTCATGTCTTTTTAACATTTAATCAACACAACATAGACAAGAACAAAGAAGACTGAAGTTAACCCCATATCTCTCTGCCCAGATAATTCTTTGGCATTAAAAAATAAGAAGTATGTATCTGTGATCCTAAGATCCTTAATGTACCTATAGGAAAAAAATAAAACAAAAACACCTCTTTTGTACCAATTCATAGTCTCTCACCAAAGGCACATAGTACTAGCTGTCTTCCAGGAACAAAAGCAAAGCCCACATATCTACATCCATTTATATGATTTTAAAAATTTACACTAAGCACTTGAAAAGATGCTCAACACCATTAGTCATCAGAAATGCAAATCAAAACCATAAAGAGATGTTAGTTCATGCTCATCAGGTTAGTTGGAACCAGAAGTATTATCAGAAAAATGTTGGAAGATGTGGAGATATTGGAATCCCTGCTGGTGGGCATGTAAATGGTGTAACTGCTTTGGAAATATTCCGTGAGTCCCTTAAAGGACTGAACAGAGAGCTATTATATGACTCAGCGATTCCTGTTCTAGGCACATGCCCAAAAGCCATGAGCACCTATGTTCGCATAGAAACTTGCACAAGGATGTTTAGAGCAGCATTATCGATAATACGCAAAAGGTTGAAACAACCACATGTCCATCAGCAGAGGGATGGAGAAACAGTGGAGTATCCTAGAACAGGATGGGCATGCTACAGCAAGGATGAACCTTGAAAACCGAACACTAAATGAAAGACCAGTCAAAAAGACTACAAAGAATTATAGAATCACATTATATGATTCAGTTTTTTTTTTTGTAAGTCTGGAACAAGGTAATCTATGGAGATAGAAAGATTAGTGGTTGGTTAAGGTAGGAGGAGAATGGAGACAGAGAGGAGGGATGGAGGTGGTGGGGAGGGGTGGATGGCGATATAGACTCGTAAAAACTAATGAGTATATTTCCTTGGAAGGTGATAAAATGTTTTAAAATTGTTGGTGATGATTGCACATTTTTGCATACATGTGATTACACTAAAAACCAATGATTGCATATTTTAAATGGGTCAGTTGTACTGAGAACTCTACCTCAACAAAGCTGTTTTAAAAATCAAGAGGGGCTGCCTGGTGGCACAGGGGTTAAAGTATCAGTACTATTAAGCTATCACCAGCTACTTCGGAGATCCCTGCCCAGGGAGGTAGGTGACCCATACAGCACGGCAGACTTCTCCTGACCTGCCGGCTGCTCCCCTCAGCAGTGTACTTCATCAGTCGGCCTATTATTCTCCCCACTCTGTCTCTGGTGAATCCTCTCACCACCCCCACCTCTGGCCTACACACCAGCTCTTGTATGCACAAATAATAAAAAAAAAAAATTCAAAGAGACAGCTGTCTGTTCCAGGTGTTTCTAATTCTCTCAAGTCTTATGTCAGTGGAAAAAAAATACACTGCTTTTATTTATTTATTTTTTATTTGGGTTATTATTTTTTTAAGGTACAGAAGTTTTATTCCTTCTGAGCAATCATAAAACAAACCAGGATATTGGAGTTGGATGCTTGACATGTATTTTTTCACTAACAGAACCTTGGGTTTTCCCTTGGGATTGTTTTGATGCTGCTGTTTTTCATCATTGAACTCTTCTGAGGAAGATTTCCATCTTAGCAATTTGTAGAAATGGGGATTTTGCTTGGAAACTTCTGCTTTTGGCTGTGTGTTGAGCTTTTAGAGCGTGTCCTGTTAAATGGCAAATGCAGTGATGCCTGATGGAGTGCCTAGAAGGCTCTCCTCTGTGCCTTTCTCTTCCCTCCAGGCCCCCACACTTCAGATCTTAGTAATTAAAATCAAACTGCTTAGCCTTTCTGCCCTGTAGGGTAAATGAAGTTGATCAGGCTTCACCCCCTTTTGCGCCATTGACCTCTGTGGCTACCACCTGCAGCTTTGCTCTTGTTCACTGCAGAGGGCACGGGGGTGTGGGGCACACGTCCTGCCCGTGGACACCTGAGCAAGGGTGTGTGGCCTGTGCCAGCGTGCACACCTGAGCATAGCGTCAGGAATAGAAGGGCAGTGTTATTCAGCACCAGCTGTGGGAGGCGTCTCTGGAGGAAGAGGAGGAGCGAGGGGTCTAAGAAAGGAAGAGAACAGAGGGAACGCCAGATCCAGCCCAGAGGAAAGAGGCAGGAAGATCAGCAGGGCACAGGTTGCTGCCTCCCGCGGGCTGTTTCCCCTGTGTACCATCAAAACCTGTGGAAACGATGCCAACAGCTCCAAAGTTCTTCAGATCGCTAGAGCCAACAGTGGGGCTACTCAGCCTGGGAGGGTTGCCAAACTTGCTCTTAGCGTCCACTTCTGGGACATCTTCTCAGACGCTTGCTTTACGGGGTGCTCCCTGCAAATCCCTTCGGGAAGTTCAGAGGGAGGGCGGTGTTTACTCAGGAGCATCCCCTCACGTCCAGGTGGCCTTGGTATCCGCTGAGGTATGTTTTGGTATTTTATACAGATCTTCTAGTACTTCTGTCAGAAGAATTGACTTTCTATAAGCAATTTTGCAAAAAAAAAAAGGCCCTTTGATTTTAAAAACAAAAGTTCAGCATATTGAAAGACTTCATTTAGAAGTTAATTGGGAGAAAATGGGTATATTTCCAAGCAGCTATAGAGTACAAGTAAGCGCCAATTATTCAGTTTTTCATTTTTTACTTTTAGTAACATTTTCATTTTCCTTATCTAGGTCATATACTTTTATATTATATTTTATTCTGAGCATTTACATGCTTTATGTTTTTTGTGAATCGATTTTGGCCTTTGTATGGGATTGTTGGTTATTAATTTTTCTAAGCCACTTTTATACTTGCTCCCCTCATTGAATCATTTTGAATGGTATTGAGTATTTCTCCAGCTGATTAGCTTGACTTTTCACAGAAACAATTGCAGTGTTAGTGGGCAGACTGAAGGATACCTAGAGATCCCCAAACTTGTACTCCCTAAAAGGGAGTGACCATCCAGGTGCACAAAAACACTTTTCCAAGTGTCTCTCCTCCACGTGTATCCTCTTATGTTCCCCCAGTCCTCCGTGCAAGCTCGCAGCTGAGAAGCAAGTGAGCCTTTCTTTTCCAGGTGTCTGTCACATCTGTCTCCCCCTGAGCCCACCTGCCTTCAGTGTCTTATAGTTTCATCGGGCCACTCAATTCTGTCCCTCATTATATGGGAACATGGTGCCTCCTCCTTTTATGGAGATGTCTTTCTTACAACAGCATAGGCAAACATGGAAAAAAAGAAAAGATATATTATGCCTCTTCTTCCTAGCCTACACAATTATTTTTAATTACTTTATTGAGTATCTGGGACTTCCAGAACATGCCAAATAATAGCTGTGAGAGACGACATCATTATTTTCTGAATTAAAAAAAAAAATAGGCACATTGGCACTAACACATAAGTTACTCAAACATAATTTATTTCTTGAGTCTCAGGAGAATTATTAACTGAAAATTTATTTAAACTCTGTTAAGTTTTAAAAAAATTTTTTATCAAGAAGACTTAATCTATTTCTGTTAACCAATCACTCTGGAGAAACTTATCAATAGTTTTCTTAATATTGTATCATAAAACATTGTTAGTGAAATACAGACTACCTTTTTATGGGGCATTTCTCTTGACATATTGTTGAATTAATATTGCTAGTATTTTTTTTTTAAAGATTTATTTATTTGTGCATACAGAACTGGGGTACAGGCCAGAGGCTCAGGGGCGGCGAGAGGCTTCACCAGAGACAGAGTGGGGAGCAGAACAGGCAGATCGACAAAGTACACTGCTGAGGGGAGCAGCGGGCAGGTCAGGAGAGGTCTGCCACGCCATGTGGTCACCGCCAGGGC